CACTACAAGATGACGCTCGTAAAACCATTCGAGGAGAATGCGATCCCGATTCGCGTTCCGCTACGGTTCCGCTCTTCGCTGCTCTCCTCGGCCGACTGGCACCTTGACACGGACGAGCTTGGTCCCAGCCTAGATGGTGTCGAGGGGTGTCGACGGGGTGTCGAGTTGGTCGAGTTGGCATGGGGTGTCGAGGTGTCGAGTCAGTGTCGAGGTTTGGTGTCGAGGTGTCGAGGCCAGTGGCTCAGAAAGAAAGAAAGAAAACAGACACGCCAAACGAGGGATGGGGGAGGAGGACAGGGTCCACACCTGCACGAGCAGGATTTTGGAAGGACGATCAGGGGACAGGTGGGGCTCTCCTGCTCCTGACAAGGGACACGACAGGCTCGCAGCGCGGTGCACGGTGGACTCCCAACTCCACTGGCGGTCTCATCTCAGTCTTCCCGTGCCCAGAAAGAAAACAGACAACCCAAAGGAGGGAGGGGTCCCGTACCACGCGGAATCGACCCTATCCAGTGCTCAAGTGCTCAAGGAGGGATGGGAGGACGGCACGCCGCCACCACACAGGGATTTTAAGGAGAGGAGTGTGGTGCCAGCCGTCGCCCACCCTAACCCTTGGGCGTCTGCCTCTTTCTATCTCCCTTCGCAGTCCCTCGCTCGCCGATTCTCGCTCGCTGCAACCTTCATGCCACCTCGCGGTCGTCCCACTCTCGTCGTTCTCCCCTGAGCGCTGAGGGAGGGTGTAGAGGATGTAGAGTGTAGAGCGCTGTAGAGCTGTAGAGATGTAGAGCGCTCTGGAGCGCTGTAGAGCGCTGTAGAGCTGTAGAGCTCTACATCCACCGCGTGACGAACTGCCTCCGTTGTAGAGCGATGTAGAGGCGCTCTACAACGTGAAATCTCTACAACAAGAGAAAAGGGGCCTAGAGAACACAACCCCCTCTCTCTTTTCTCCCAGCAAGCTATAAGTACGTACAAACAACAAACTCTACATCAAAAGCGGCGAACGAGGCACGGTCGGTCTCCGACATGAGGCGCGTTGCACTCGCCAGTGCTGCCCTGGCCTTCTGTCTGCCCGCCCAATGGGTGGCAGGTGCCTCTGCTGCTGTGGCATGCCTCACGGCTGCGACTGGCCGGCGCCTCGGCGCGTCAGCTCGGCTCGGCGTAGCGATAGTGGCCAGCGCAACTCGCCTGGACTCAACGCTCAGCCAGGAGCTCCCGCACGCGCTGGCGCGAGGCATGGCGCATGCAACGCGCAGCAATGCTCTCCTCGCCTCGCGCAAATGCGACCGTCCTCGCAGCCGACAGTCCACCGCCTGCTAAAGAAGCACTGCGACGAATGCGGCACCGGCGACACATGGCAGGCTGGTCATGACGCAGTTATAGGGTGTTGTGTGCCATCAGAGTGACTCTCTGTGTGTCAGGGATAGTCAGGGCCGTCCATCAGAGCTCCAGTAAGCTCGGAGACCCCCCATTAGCGCGGCTTGACCTCTTTGAGTCACTGCCTTCCCGGCGGTTTGGCTGTAGAGCCTCTACAACAAACTCTACAGCAAAATCGCGCTCTACATCGCTCTACAACGGAGGCGCTTCGTCCCGCGGCGGATGTAGAGCTCTACAGCTCTACAGCGCTCCAGAGCGCTCTACATCTCTACAGCTCTACAGCGCTCTACACTCTACTAACATCCTCTACACCCTCCCTCAGGCACTGCCGTCCAGTCGGCGAAGGGACGGCTGCTGCGCAAAGTGATCAGTTCTAAAATGAATGTACCGGGGCCCGACGGATAGATGAATCCGGGGCACCCTCCGCTCGCGCCCTTCCCCTTCGAAGTAGGGTACCACCCTACTATTTAGGGTGGGCTCCGGCGCCCGCCCGCATCGCCCCCAGATGGCAAGCGGAGCCTACCCACGTGGCGCGCGGGTGCCCTCGGCTTACGGACCGAGTCGCACGAGGCTCACATAAGGAAG